ATTCGGAAGTATAGAGTCCTGATAGATTGTAAAAACTGGAAGGAAGAAAACTCAGCAACCAACCGACCAGCTGAGAAGAACCCTTCCTTGAAACGTCAAACTGTTTTGTGATTGACTGTAAAATCATAGCGGTATCAGCTGACAGTTTAATGCTACCCAAACTGAAACTGCTGCTCTAGGATCAGTTGTTGAACATGAAACTTCAGCTGAAAGTCACACCATTAATTCTAACAGGTGTGCAGCATTCCTGCCGCTTCATTTGGCTCTGAAGTGATGCCTCTCTGCAGGACTGGGATTTCAAGTCTCAAGCCTTTAGTTAAAAATTTAGCTGTAAATAAACACTCAGCCTTTTTCGTCCTCAGCATCTGCTTGTTTTAGAAGTGATCCTTTGAAAAATAAAAATGCGGGTCTACACCACACGGCCGACAGGTAGTATTAAGAAAGATCACCATGTCAAACAGCTCATTAGTTTCCTGGTGTTTGTCACCATGGAAGTGTTCTGCATCAGTGGTGTAACCATGTTTGAATCCAGCAGGGATGTTGTGGCACATCCAGCATGACTGTAAGTGGGCCGTCCCTGGCTGTGTGTCACATTTTGTGTTAAATGCACTTGTGCGTGCACATCTTCACTGTGGAACAGCAGCATGCAACAGAACATTAGAGTGACTTTGATTACACTCTTCTCTCATCCAAACAAAGCATCCTCGACACCGCGTGTTCCTTACCACACACACCCAGCAGGATACGCATCTCTCTTCATTTCTCTCTGCATCTCCTCCCACTCCCTTCTTTATCCCTCTCCTCTTCTTCTCCTCTCCCTCATCCGATGTCCTCAGATTTGCCTCTCTAACTCTCCCTTCTTTTGCCTAACTTTTAATTCTTCTGCATTGCTCAGGGAGCGGCACCTGGTGAACATTATTTTCAAAAAGCATCATCATGCATCATTGTAAGGATACATACTTTAATCAGCTGAGCCATCTGGCAAACGGCTTATGCACCATCAAGCCTAAATGCTTTGCATCTGTTGATCAAGTGGATGTGTCATTGTTCTTGGAGTAACACCCTTAACCTCTGAGACTCTTTGTAGTTCAGCCTGCTGTCAGACAAGTTTTTATTTATGTTTTGCTGTAGGTTAACCCTCTGGAGGCTGGCGTTGCAGATTTGCAACGTTAAAACCTATCTGTCTGGTTACTCCACAAACGTATTTCATGAGTGTAACGTCACGTAATGGCCTGGTTTTAAGACTCACAGGTCGGATACACAGCCTGGGTCACCTTGCCCTGGCTACTACTCCAATCTGCAATAGAGTCGTTCACAGGAGACTTAAAGTCTGCTACCACTCCTTTAATCTATGTAGCTGTCTGCTTATCTGACTGCTATTCCATCCAGCAAGAAGAGGACATTTCAAGATTTAAAAGAATCATTTAAACAAACTCTTTTTACTGTTAATCATCAAGGTTCATTATAACTGTGTTTAATTAATGAAATGAATTATTATTATTTGTTAATAACTATTTATGATAATCAGTAATGTTTAACTATGACAAGAATCATGTGCAATTATACATAGAAACACAGGTCACACTAACTATGTTAAAGGTAACTGCAATCACAACTTTCCATAACACCAGAACCTTCTATCTTCAGGGAGGCGTGTTTCTGTGTATAAGTGCACATTTTACACAAGCATTTTTTAACTCAGGTGTACCCCTGAAGGACCTAGTCCACACGTAGCCGGGGTTAAAAAAAAAAAAAAAACGAATATCCACCCCTCCAAAAACTTGCATCCACACCACCTCGTTTTAAAACAAAACTCTGTCCACACGTACCCAGATAAATATGTTGTTAAGGACATGCCAGACCTGTAGGTGGCAGTACTTCCCCCGTTCTTAACCTCATCCTTCGTCTGTGGTCTTCCGCAACGAGCAGTAATTCCGCTTGCAAAAACAAACAAGCAAAAAGCGCTTGGACAATTGATAAAGCGAGCGCAGCTCTGAGGGCATCCATGCTGTCGGCTAGTGTAAACACAGGTCGCACACGTGATGTCAGCATTTTTTTGTCGCGGAAAGTGACGTTGCGGACCTTAAAACTCCGGTTTTGTCTGTCCACACGCAGACACCCAAAACGGAGAAAACGCAGATCTTCACTTTGGCCGGAGTTTTTAAAAAGATCCGTTTTCGTGTGAAAAAACTCCGTTTTCGTGTGGATGACAGGCCAAAACGTAGAAAAATATCTACGTTTTGGCAGAACCCCGGCTACGTGTGGACAGGGCCTAAGTTGTTCGTCCTTTTATCAAATCTTATTTTGAGTCTGAGAGCGTTAACCTGATCATTTTAATAAAAGAAAAATATTACACTTTTATCACAGGATCTGAAACGTTTTTGTGAAACTCTCAGAGCTTTGTGTCCATGCATTAAAGACAAGCTTTTGTTTAGCTATCAACTGGGAAAAGATTTTTTTTTTTGGAAAAAGATCATTATTACCTCTTTCTTTCATACGTTTGAACACATATAAAAAAAAGTAATTTCAAACTGATTTAATTGATGGGACAACTTAATGCATAAATCAGGCTTCTGTCAAAGCACTCTCAAATAAGATTTGGATGTCACGATGAATTATTCCGCTGAGTTGTGGCAGTCATCCTACAGTCTCTCAGTAGTGTCAGAATCTCTTGGCCTACTTATACAGACAACTTTGCCAGTAACGTTATGTATTCCTTCAATGAACTCTAAATATGTCATCGTCGCAAGTGTGAAAAAAGGAAAGACTAACTGTGTAAACCAGAAATCAGCAAGTTGAGCTGCCATTGCTGCAGCCGCTGCCAAGAAATGAATGTAGAAAAGAGGAATGAGAGATGTAATAATTGTCACAGCTATTGGAACTTTAACAGTCATTTCCCTGATGATTCTTAAATCATCAGCCTTAAAAAACTAAACAAAAAAACAAACAATACCAACAGGAACTTTTATAAATGACAGAATGGTAAATAGCCTGTAGTTGATATAGCGCCTTCTAGAGCCCTGGAACCCCCCAAGGTGCTTTACAACACAATCAGTCATTCACCCATTCACACACACATTCACACACTGGTGGGGATGAGCTACATTGTAGCCACAGCTGCCCTGGGGCGCACTGACTGAGGCGAGGCTGCCGAGCACTGGCGCCACCGGTCCCTCCGACCACCACCAGCAGGCAACGTGGGTTAAGTGTCTTGCCCAAGGACACAACGACAGCGACAGACTGAGCGGGACTTGAACCTGCAACCTTCCGATTACAGGGCAAGCATTTAACTCCTGTGCCACCGTCGCCCCAATTCACACGTTAAGTGCTGGTTCATCACATACGACTAAAATATCCTTTTTCATTAGAAGTTTAACTTTAACTTTATTAAAAAACGCTAAATCAAATGTGCTTCTTCTGGAGAAAGGCACTGATTTTACTTTCAACAGACCACAATGCAAGCTGCACAAACAATGTAAGCTGACTGGAGGACAAAGTCCTGCACACACACACACACACACACACACACACACACACACACACACACACACACACACACACACACACACACACACACACACACACACACACACACACACACACACACACACACACACACACACACACACACACACACACACACACACACACACACACACACACACACACACACACACACACACAGTGCCTGAGCTCCATATAGTACAGTAGCACTATCTTCAATCAGTCCCATTGTGTGGTAGAATACAGGTACTCGTGCTGAGTACAAAGGTTTGAATTGCACGACTGTCATTGCTTTACCTGTCAAAATAAGAGCTCCTCAGCAAGACTGAGTTCTGCTTTTAATCACTGTCTCAGATTGATTATGCCAGCCCAAAAGTGCACACTTTGCACCAAAAACATCAATGTGAATATTTGACAAATGGGTCTTCTCTCTAGATATATCGCTGCATGCTGAAGTTGTGCACGCTGGACGAGCGTGGGCCCAGTTTTATCCCACCTTACGTGCATGCTCTTGGTGAAGCGCTGGACTGAAGTGAATCCTGTAGGGTCTCTAACCACACCAGATTTATTTTTCTTTGTAACACATTTCCACTTAATTAGATGTAAAAAAAAATATGAATTGACTAAAGTTTTTACAAGATTGTGAACACTTTGCCGTCCTAAAACTCCATAACCACACTCACTTTACAATGTGCAGCAAGTTTGGAGACACTGGCATCTTTTGACACGTTTAAAGAATATTTGAAACCCTTGTTTTTGTTCTCATGAAGGCCGTCTCTCACATGAATGAGCTTAAAGTTACCAGAAGACATCACCTTAAAACTGGAACGCTGCTGAGATGACAAAGCATGAAAGCAGAAGCACAACAAAGACTTAGATGCTGTATAATTTATTTAGGCTCCTGCTTTTGTTGAGTGAAAAATCCAGAAGTTTCTTCCTTCTAAAGGAATTGAAACTCTGCTGAATAAGCAAATCGTGTGCATTGTGGGTAGGTGTTTCAAAGTCCTTCCCTTTTTGCTGTAATGTATCTGCACCGGGCCTGTTTATTATGGAAAACAAACGGGCTACATGCAGACCATGCGCCAGTGCTTCAAAGCACAAGGTCAAAATACTACGGGGAAATTAATGCCTTATCTGTAAACTTAGTAATTGATATTCCTTACTCTTCTGCTGCTACAGTAACCCCACATCTTTTCAGCATTCACAAACAACATAAACATGCAAATCTCATCTTCCTTTCTCTTTTCTCTCCAGAGGAATAATTTTGGATTACCAGTAAACAGAACGCCTTCTTTTGGCCTTGCTGAAACTTTCCCCCCCTCCTTTCAGTATTATCTCTCTCCCTCTCTCTCTCTCTCTCTCCCTCACACACACACGCACGCACGCACGCACACACACACACACACACATGCATGTGTGTGCACATAAAGACTTTACAAAAGCAGAAGCTACAGCACAAACACATAGAAGGAGAGGAAATGAAACTGAGTGCTCACCCAGGGTTTGATGAAACTCACCCGACATCGGGGTCATGGGGGTGGGCGGAAGGCTGTTGATGTTGAGCGCCCCCATCTGGTGGATCTGTGTGGCGGGAAAGGCCACGCTTGGCGTGAGATAACCTCCGTGGGTCGCTGCCATGATGGCTGCCTGCTGCTGCATGAGCTAAAGAAGATGGACATGGAGAGATAGGTGGAGGAGAGGGTGGTTGGAAGGGGTTTGCAAGAGAGAGCATGAGGGGGATGGCAAGATGGGGGACGGGGAGGTGAGGGGAGGACAGATGGTGATGAAAAATAGAGTAAGTTGCAGAAGAGTCAGGAAAAGACGGAGGAAGGGGAGAACGAATGAAACATAGTGAGGGCGATTGTGGAGGGAGGGATGGATGTTGAGGATGATGGATGGATAGTGCATGGAAGTACAGAGAAAGTAGAGCGGAATAAAAGAAAGAGAAGAAAAAAGAAGCCTGTCAACCTATGTTTAGTGAATCTGCCTTTCCTCCCAGCAGGAAGCCTGTCACCAGCTGCAGAAACAATTTAATAGCTGTCTGTTGGGCTCATACAAATCAAGGCATTGACATGTGCACATTATCTCTGTGCTCAGGGGACAGGCAAAGTTTGCAGAGTTACAATGCCTTTTCCTTATTATTGTCAAACTTCACAATACTTTGTTTGGCTGCATTGAAATGCCACAGTCGCCTCCCACTCCTATCAGCTTCCCCCCCTGCTCATTTTTCATTTTTTCTTATCCATTTGTGATGATTACTGCTTGCAGTTTGACATTCATCCCGAGCTTAAAATTTGCTTAGTTGTATAATTTACATGGACACTCGCTGAGGCCATTTTTAAAAAACTCTCTTCCAGAAAATATTGCTGCATATAAAGAGTGCTTGCTGTTAAAAAGCCGCAGACTTCAGTCATTAATGTGGTTTAAAATTACGTTTAGCTAGCAACCCAGATTTAAGTTAGTAATATGGCATGTGTAGTCAGTAAATGTCTTTTTTTCCTCTTGATGGACAATCCCACTAAGAGATGAGATCAGTAGATTTTCATTCATGATGAGTTCCTGTTTAGCCTGACGTGAGACGGAAGAGGCAAAACAATTTTTTTCCATCAAAAGCCCACGGAGTGTTTATTCATATGCATAGGACATGCTCACATGCACCGTTGCCTTGAACTGCACCCCCCCCCCCCAAACACACACACACACACACACACACACACACACACACACACACACACACACACACACACACACACACACACACACACACACACACCACATAGAGTGAACGAGACTATTCAAGCTTCCACACTCTGTTTCAATTCTCTTGGTGTAAAAACACACCCAGAACGCCTGATTCAGAAAAAAAAAAATCCATCATCGTACAATGGCTTTTGCAGCTTGTGGACCAGTGGAGTTTATCCAGGGAATCAATAATCTTTTGCAGGCTGTGTAGCTGCCCATCAGGCATGCAAACCTGTGTGGTATAGGGATACAAACACGGCAGCACCAACCTTTCCCCCCCTATTTCTGCATCTGTTTCATACTGCATGGCTTGTTTGTGTCAGGGGAGCTGCAGGCCGATGGCCGTAGCCCACAGACTGACTCGCACAGGCAGGAATCAAACTGCTCTGCCACTTGCATCGAGGCTAACAACAAGAATGTGAAACATTGGTGGTACAGGGATGCTGCTCTGCTTGTATTTGCATGTGGACCAGGCAACGGAAAAAGCCAATTATTTTCCCTGAGTGCCCCTGTCAGGTAACCTGAAAGGGGCTGTCCTGCTGCAGGATGCCCGGCGCAGGCGCCTCATCCATTAGCCACGATCCTCCCAGTCGCTATCTGTTGCTGCCTTTTTGTTATTTGCATAATTTTATCAACTTGACAAATGTGAATCATCCATTCTTTTTCCAAAAAGAGGAATCACGCCTTAAGGTTGGAAGGGCTGAAGCAGACAGGAGTAGAACAAGAAGTGTAACAAAAGAAGTGGCAAAGAAACAAACTAGGAGGTCTGAAGGGTTCTGGGGCTTCTTGAGGTTACAGTGACTGCTACCCTGTCAGGATGAGAGCAGGGGGAGACCAAAGGATGGAGATTCAGAGATGGTACTCCAGAATAAACACGCTGTCATAACACACCATGTTTTTGTCCTTTCCCTGAGAATTTGAGCAGATTCTAAAACCTAAAATCTGGCTTATATTTCCAACTCCATCCCTAGGTAGGTTTTGTTGGATGAGTAATCCAGTACTTTGGATAAAATATTGGGTCAAATTTCTTGACCAGTTGGGATTATGAACAAGCATTTATGTACATTTAAAAAGGACACATACTGGTTGTTTAAATGAATCCACTGTGGTCTGTAATATAAACAAATGTCTTGTGAGTTTTATTATTATGTTTTTTGTAGTCAAAAATAAGAAAAACCTCTGGCAATCCTGTTTCAGGAAATATAAGTTAGTTTCAGGAATCGCGGGCATAAAACAAGAGGATATGAAGTATTGCTCGTCGTGTTATGCAAATATCTTGTCTCTGATTGCCTGAAAGCTTTGTAACTCTTCTGCTGTCTCCAGTGGCTCTTTTTTCTTGGGTAAAAATGCAATGTTGATGTTTTATCTCCACAAACAACAAAGGCCTGAACCTGTTCCTCTGTGTTTTGGGATTGCTAATGCTAACAGTTAGCTTCCACTAGATAAAGCCGGGTGTACACTGTGCGACTTTTTCACTTTTTTGAGCCGATTTTCCAGTCGTGCGAGAATCCACGACATCGGGGCGAGTTTTGCGCCGAGCGTCGTGTAGTGTACAGGGGGTTACGAGAGGCGATTAAAACCACGTGACCAGCTGCCGATCAGCAGTCGTGAGGTCGCACGGACTTCTGGCATGTTTAATATTTCGCTCGTCCCTCGTGAGGGTATCGCACTGTTGAAGCAGCGCTGCAAGTAGCTGCGACCCAAAATGTATCAGAACCGCTCACGGCGCATGCGCAATCCTGCATCAACGCCGCTCGCTATTTCCTTAATAACACACGCTGTTCGTTTTTGTTTCTACACGTTTTTTTACTCACAAAGATTGCCAAGAAAGCGTGTTTGTCGTGTTCATGTCAAATTAAACTGATCACAAAACACAGATTTACTTTCTTTATTTCGTTTTCCTCATCCAACCCCCATAAATCCCTGTGTGTCCTCCTGCAGCACTCCCGAAGGACAACAGGCAAGACAAGACAAAAAAGTCTGACGTGTTGAGTAAAAACTGCTATTTTTAGCATATTTTTAGGGCCGACGTGTTGCTACCAGACGTACAGTGTGAGCAGTCAGGTCGCATGCGAGAACTGGGTCGTGCAGTGTGAGTGCATGACTCGTGAGATCTGCCCTGCGAGGAAGTCGTACAGTTTGAGCTGAAGCTGAGTGCTACGAGTGAAAAAGTCGCACAGTGTACGCCCGGCTTAAGACAAGCTCTGTTTTCTCATGGACGCTAAATCAATAAAAACCTTAAACAGTTGTGAGCAAAGATGGGTGGGTCCATTAATGCAAACTTCCAAAGTGACGTAAATCTGTGACCCAGGAGTGTCCTTGTATATTTTCTTTAAGTGCAGGAAATCGAGGTTGGAGATTTTTTTTCACATTTTGCACACATGTGAAACTCATAGTGACCGGTCTTATTTTAGAAAGTACATATGTTAAAGGTTTCTTAGAGAACTGCCTCTTTAATTGAAAATTTAAAGTTTTTGACCTGAGAAGATTTTGCATTTAATATTATTTAATATTGTTTGTGTGAATGCATTTAAACATGTGTACTGTTAGGTTAACAAAACCTATTTAAACATTGTGAGCTTCTTCATAGAGATAAAACATATTTGAAGCCAATCACCACTGGTGTAATTGGAAATTCTAAGTTTTTCTTTTCAACCTAGGATTGGTTTGACATACTTTTAGAAGTTGGTTGTTTAAAAACATAAGGCAATAGGCAGCTTTATTTATATAGCTTATTTCATACACAGAGGCAATTCAATGTGCTTTCCATTGGCAAGAATAGCATGCACATTAAAATCTATGTGACAGCACAATTCAAATACAAATTAATTTCAGATTTAAGACAAAAAAAAGACGTTAAAAACTGAGCAGTTACAGTGCAGAAAGTGTACAGTCACTAAAATGCTGATGAATCCACAAAGGTTTTCTATTTAGATTTAAAAGTTTCTGGAGTTGTGGCACATTTGAGGTCACGAGGAAGCTGATTCCATGTGTGCAGCATAGCAGCTAAAAGCAGCTTCACCCTGTTTGGTTCTGACCCGAGGTTCTACCAGCTGACTGCTTCCTAAGCATCTCAGAGCCCTGCTGGGCGTAAATACAGGAAAGACATCTGACATGAATGTTGGTTCCATGCCGTCGAGTGATTTGTAAACTAGTAGAAGTACTTTGAAACGGATTCTGTAGTTTACTGATAACCAGCGTAGATATTTAAGAACAGGAGTGATGTGTTCAGTTCTCTTGGTTCTTGTTCAGACTCTAGCAGCAGCATTCTGAATAAGCTGCAGTTGCTTCACGGCTTTTTGGGAAAACTAGTCAAAAGACCATTACAATAGTCCAGCCTGGAGATAAACACACTTTGCTGAGTCATTTTAGCCTGGCAAGCCATATAAATATGTGAATATTTAGTTTGGGCACGGTCCATTAAGTAAGTAAATGCATTTAATTTACATAGCACTTATCACAGACATAGAATCACGAAGCGCTTCACATAGATCAAAACAAAATAAAACATAATGATCTTAAAACAGAAATAGATTAACACCAGAAAAAATAAAATACAACAAATGAAAGATTATTACAAACTTGAGTTAAAAATAAGAAAACGAAAGATTCACGTAAAAGCAGCTTTAAATAAAAGGGTCTTTAGCTGTTTAAAAAAAACATTCACAGAAACTCAGTCGTCGGGAGGGATCTATGGTTGTCTTTCCAACTGTCCCCACATGCTATTGGATAATAACCAACGTGACATACTCACTGCCATACTCCATCAAAGAAGGTGCAATTACACCCTTTTTCTAAATAAACTTAAGTACCTCCATCTGCCCTTGACTCAAAGAATGGCCAAGTCTAAATAGCCCAAAGTTGAATCTGAGTTCATTTCAAAAGACCAGTCACCGGCTCGTCATTTTTGTATTTTCAGT